TCTTCGTGGCGCACAGTGTCCATTGTAGGCACAACGGTGTCTGAAGATGTGACTTTATGGGCGTCGATCTCAATGGAGGGCACCTTGGACTGCCAAGCAATCCAGTCACCAGTGGCGATTTGGACGTCGAAGTCGATAAGGGAACTGTCGGAACCCATCGTTGGGAGGTCGATGCCGGTTTGCTTGCGCAAGAAGTAGCCCATCTCAGCCCGAAGGTCGAGTTTAGCATCACCGGAAAATGCCCAAATGATGCTCACAAGCAATCGTTTGGTGACATACTGCTCTACCTTTTCAGGTGCAAGAGGGAAATCGGAGTGTTGCAGGTTGTACTCGATGACGTTTCGCGCCGTCTTGTTCAGCAGCGAGAAAAGTGTGTGTAACGCACGTGTCGAGGTGAAGTCCATGATATGATCTATAGACTCGGCGAATGTCAGGGCAGAGTCAACAAGATCTCCGTCGCTGAAATAGCGCTCCAGAATGGACGCGATCTGTACTTGCGTGGCAAGATTGGCAGACTTAGACGCGTCTGTGGTCAGTGCATCAGTACGACGGCCAGGCATATCGACAGCATCTTCATCATCCGCATCCAAAGGCACGGTCGACAGAGTGTTGAGGTAGTGACGGTAGACCATCGATGGCTCGATGACGTCTTCACTGAACCAGATCATACCGCAACGACTAACGGTGGCCAAGGTGGCATAGCGAAGATGCTCGACCTCGAACATGATGCGAACATTAGGCGGGAGGTTCAGACGTTCACCATTGGGCAGCGTGAGCAGTTTGTTGTCATCCAGCACACTGCAATCACGTTAGACAGTTGCGAAGCTATCCAGTCCTGATACGCACCTATTCAAGTTCTCGACCCACTCAGGATCGACATCACCATCAAAGATGATCCAGTGTCTCTTACTGCTTTCACCACGAACATCGTCAACAATCTTGCGCAAGATGTGAGTGAACAGCCCGTCGTTCCATTCGCGTGTGGTAGGATCGAGTGTGCCGTACAGTGCGTCCTTGTGCATTGCCTTAGGGTCAATGACATAGGGAATTCCTTCAATGCCATCGAGCCTCTCAAGCGCCGCAAGCAGAACCTGCCAAGCATTGGTCTTCCCAGTACCCGAAGGTCCCACCATCATGAGACCATGTTGAATCTTCTGAATCTGATAAAGCTGAAGAATCTTGGCAACCCATCGATCACCGTCGACAAGGCGGCGTTCCGCGCAAACCTTAAGAATTTGCTCGCGCAAAGCATCGAGGTCAACCGGAACGTAGTCGGTACCGGGGAAAACATCGGCAAGCAAGCTGTCCAGGGTAAGCCATTTGTCTTTACAGAACAAACAAAACTTACCTTGTAAGCAGAGGAACATCATCAGCAACCAACTTCGGCACAATTGTCTCCGTGACACTCTGGATGAGAATGATCTGCTCCGAAATGTTATCGGAAAGGCCCACTACACCATCCGCATCTTCGGATCTCGCACTCTGCAGACGCTCACGCTTCAAGATACCAGCACTTGCTAGGACAGCCTTCAAAGCACGAAGACCGAAATCGTAATGTGGCTGGGGGGAGAGTTGTTCGTCACAAAGATTGAAGAACGGTACAATCTTTGAAGCGAGTGATTCCGCTGTACGGAAACCCTGTGAGAAGAGCATGACCTGGGCAATCAGCTCGCGATCGGGTCTCGTCATGGCCATCCTGAATGAGCAACAATGGATTCAGAATGGGACGCATAACTGTCAGGATAGAACATACGGCCTGAACAATTTCGTCAAGTTGGGCGGGAGCTGAGATCGACCAGCGTAGTTGGGGTTAGTCGTGATGAAAATTCCTTTTACATATATTAGCCAATATCACCGCGTATCGTATTATAAGATTGTTACCGATATTCTTGCTGATCTTGAGGCTTTTGCCAACAAGCTCAATTTCGATGTTAGGGTTCTTCGCCAATGCAACAAGACCTTGCTGAATGCTTTGTACTTGCTGAGACACAGCACTGAGAATACGCTCCTCAAGTCGATTGAACTCGTCAAAACATCCCCATGCACCAACTTGACAAAGCCCGACGAAGATGCGACCCATGGCTTGGAAATCAAAAGTCTCGTCGCAACAGAAGACCAAAACAAAACGCCCCAGTTGAACACCAAGAGCTTTGACAGACTCCGTTTTGCCTGAATTTACGTTAGTTTGACATCGGAAGATAAAGACGACATTCTTACCTGTACCAGCAGGTCCGAAAGGTGAGCCTCCCAACTGGTTGTCGAGCGCTTGAGTCAATGTTAAGTACACTCGGTCTGTCAATGGTGTCTGGACAAGACGATCTGGGACACCAAGATACTCCCATCCGTAAGGGAACGATGCATCAGCGACGCAGATGGCAAGCCTGTCTAGTGAGTTGTCCACAGAGCGATCCAGATAGAAACGCATTTGTGCTAGCCACGTAAATGCCTTGGTGTCTGTGACACGCTGCTGGATGAGGGTACGCGTAACGTCTCTTTGGTGGACCAGTTCGGTAATGAGGTGCTCGCACTTGCGGCGGGTGACGGGGCTCAGTTCCTGTAACACAATGTCCGCAAGAAGGTCGAGTGCCTGACTGACTGTTTCAAGTGGTACTTCTGGAAGCTTCCCAGACTCAAGAGTGGCATCAACTGCGGTAGTCCATGCAACTTGAACAGCTAGAGTGACCAATTGTGCAGGATATTTCTCCATCCATGTCATGAGCTGGTCCATTTCCAAGGGAGAATCAGTGCCATAGAAGGACTGTAGCTCGGTGACAGCATCGCATAAAAGATCCGCAAGGGACAATCGCATCGTGGATTCGAGCTTGGCGAGCCAGTCGTTGATCTTGGGGAAGTCCTTGAGTAAAATAGGCTCAGTGAATTTAACCTCCTCCCCCTCGCGTGAGGCCATGCCCTGGATCTGAGTGAGGTCCTCATCAAGCTTGATGGTTGAAATACCAGCAAACATCTTTTTGAGGTGCTTCATAATGCGTACGATATCCTTGCTGTTGCCGATGATCTCCAGCAGGTCTTCATCACCAACAAAGTAGAACCGAGGGAACGAAGACCGCTCGCGCTCGAGGTATTCACCCAGCGCCTTTTGGATCTTGTTCAAGAGGTCTGCCAAACGTTCCAAGCTCTTCTGGATGCCCTGAATGTTCATGACATCTATGACAAATGGCGACTTGTACACTTTTTTCATCACGGTAAGGAACTCTGCATTAATGTTTTGGAAGCGGGAGCTTTCCACCGGAAGGAGGTGCTTGATGTCCGCACTGCCTGAGAAGATGCCCTCTAGATATACCCATTGACGCTGTACGTCAACCCAGATATCTAGACCAACATTCAGTGGATTTCACAGAGGAGAATAACCAACAATCATACCAAAGAGTACATGAATCCTGTTGAGTTTATCTTCCCATGACCCTGCTTCTTCTTCGAAGACTGGAAAGCAAGTTAAAACGGTGTCGAAGTAAAATCATATCGCATACCCTTGTAATAAGGCGACAATTTCATTGCAGTCAAGGAGTTCAAGTTCTCACTGCACTTGTTAAAGAGGTCATCCCATCCTCTGGAAGTAGTATGGTGAGCATTCTACATGGCCTTGCTGAAGTTAGCTTACTTGATCAGACGACACTTGTTCTGATAGTTGATAAGATCGAGCGTGTAGTTCGTCCATATTTCCTTCACTTGCTTAATATATTCTTCGAGGGCCATCTTCAAGAGAGCGTTAAGCATAATGAAAAAAAGATCACGATGCCACCTACCTCCCCCTGCGCTTGGATGATAACCTCGCGTATGGGAGCATCATTCTTCTTCAGGTCCAAATCGTAAACATGGCCAAGAGTCATACTGTACTACAATCAGCACGTATAACCGATGAGTAAGGGTATAGAACCAGCTCACAGGGTTAAACTGATCTGGGATGGCAGTCTCAAAACCTTGAAGAGCTGCTTCCAGTGTCTATCCTTTAGCGCCTCCGACCTCAAGTCCGAAATGAGTGAGTTCGACTTCAAAAGTCCACGCAGTACATCCTGAACGTATTCGAACGCTGCATACTGCCTCATACGCGTGGGCATGTCCCTTGTCGACGTCAAGAGGCCATCGAGCTGCTGTCTCAACTTCCTCGGTTGGACCACGGACCACGACATCTCCCTCAGGTCGCTGATCTGGCTCCATATACCAGAAAGCGCCGTCCACACTGCTTTGAGGTCACGTAGCTCCTCGAAGACTGGTTCAAGGCGTGTATGACGCGTTAGCTCGAGGTCTAGAGCCTCCTTCGCCCTGCAAACGAGGTCGTACTCCTCCTGCACGCGAGTAAGCTTCCCCTCGAACACGTTAATAGTGTTCATAGCCGTATCTGCACGAAGGCTGCCTTGTACGGGACGTGTCTGTTCCCATTCCGACAGGATATCGTTGATCTTGTTCTCTACGATCTTGTCTTCTGCAACTATTTTGAGTTGAAGGCCCGCTACACGAACAGATCATGAGTCACAGGTGATAACGCAAGTTCAAGAGAATAACCCCGTACCCAACTGCTCTTGAATGGAATCATTCTTTCTCTTGAGAATCTCGTTATATGCGCTCCACTCTCCTCTAAGTTGATCGCTGTATAGCCAGTCATCTGGGAATTGGTACCGAAAACGCTCTAGTGTCTTCTCGCCGTTGGCACATAGGTCTATCATAGGACCCCATGTCTTGGTCTTGCGCTTGAGGTCCTGTACGAATGTAATGAAGGTCACCGCTGCCGCGGTTGATGAGTTGGAGGGACTGAATGCCTAGAGAACTGTCAGGGCCACGATAACCTCAACGCTTAGCTTCTTGTGCTCACCTCCATGATTACTTCTGAAAGAAGCTTTGACGCGTCTGCGAAACTTCAATGTCAAAACACTCGTGGGAAAATATACCGTAAGCAGACCCCTGCAATTGTTTTGCCAACGACACGGCAAGCAAGCTAGCAATACACCTCGTCACATCATCGCCCGTGAAAATATCCGCTTATCATGTCTGGACGCCAACAAAGAGTGTTGGTGCAACCCATTGTATGTTCCCTCATCCAAAGTCATTTTCTATTCACCGATGATCTTTATTTGCACAGAATGTGATCTTCAAAAACCTGCAGCAGGTCTGTTCTAGTATGAATACTCTCCCTTGACACTGACATATGCGTATAGCGAACAAAAGTCGTCATATGGTTGTATGACAACATCGAGATGCGGATCGAAGGGCGTATCATTGTACGTGCACTTTCTCAGTTTCAAACATTTTTGGGCGTTGAAGCGCGTCTCTGGCAAGGCCATGGCACTCTGTGTTTGCGTGATGCGCGGCGATCTTTCTTATTTTTCTCCCTTTGCTTGAATTATCTTGAGGTCCGTTGAACTGACGCAATGCATCTGTTCTTCAGGGATTTGACGAATTCATGAATGTCGTGGTCGACGAGGCTGCAGAAGTGTACGTCAAAGACGCCAAACCACGACGAGAGCTTGGTGAGATCCCTTATCTGATGGATTCCATGCATGGATCGCTGATATAGCTCCAGGTCGTATACTACTAAAAGGCGATAACATTACCCTCATCCAACAGGTGGTATGATATATTGGCTCTGTTCATGTAAAACCTTGTCTTTCTGCACACACCGGTATATGATGTGCTCTTACAATGTATCATAATAATTTTGTGCTGCTACTGATGTACCTCAGCAAACGTTCGTGCTACGCATGAGGACAACCTGATAGTACAACAGAACAGAACAAAATACGACATCAAACTATAGATTGTAAATCGGCAATAACCTCGTAAGACTAAGTGCCTGTCTACACAAAGGACACTCTGCCTTCTCCCGCCCCCATCCTACAATGCACCCCCAACAAAATAAGTGCCCACACTCGGTTGCACAGCTATCAGTTCGTTCTTCTAGACAGAGTGTGCACGTCCTCCCTGCCCGCTGACGCGAAGGTATCGATGTGATATCTAAGATTGTGTTCTCGTCCTCTTCCGCTGGTTTCACATCAGACTCGGAGGCAGAGACGCCGAGTAAGGTTGAAACAGGCCGATCGTCAATGAACATCTCATTCATCGAGTCCAGCGAACGCTTCCCTGAGGACTTTTCCGAAGCAGCTTGAGATCTACTGCGTAAAAATGTAACAAGTCGATGGAGAAGGCGTATCGCAATGAGTATTCCAAGCAATGAATATGACGGCGGGCGAGCATGAGGGTTCTCTGGGATGGAAGACACCTGTCACCAAATATCTAGATCGGTTTCTTGTGCATCGAAAGGAAGAGACATGACCTACATGTCGAATTCTCAACACCCTCTTCACTAGATCATAGTACGTGCCCCGCAGATAAAACAACGCTAGGTTGATTTCCGTCCCTACTTCCAAACACACCTGTAGCGCCTTGAGCAACCCGCCCATTCTCGGGCTCAGGGCACCAATGTGGGAACCCCAACGCGCCAGAGCATACGAAGGAAGCGTAGGGAGGAGGATAAGCGCTGCTCGGAGAGAACGCGAGGGTGTTCTTCCATCAAAGGAGTATTCCCAGATATCTGTGTATTCCTCCCCGAGAGTCTGGACAGCTAACATGTGGTTAGCAAAGGGTTAACCCTCGCAGAAGATATCTACCTCGACCAACAGATAGTCCGTAGTACATGAGTTTCACACCTAGCTCGACCTCCTTGTCCCATCGCGTGAGCCACCGTGTACCTTTCCATTCACCATCAGCACCAGCGGTAAGGAAAGGATATGAGAACGCACCAAGCCACGATCGAAGTACTGACTCTGCTTGTTCCCTCAACGATGCAACATGGAACAAATCTCTCTGGTTCGCCCTTACTGCATAATTATCAGCATTCCTTGATGCAAGAAAAAATGAGACAACGCACTAATTTGAGCCTGTTGAGCGTCGGGAAACGTAGGCAGGCGCGATGAAGATGCAGACATGTTTTCGGTAACCCCGGCCTCAATTGCGGCTGCTCTTTTCTGCTACACACGAGTACTTAGTACTTACTCACTTGGTACTCATTGCATATTTCACTTTCACTCATCACCGCGAGTTTACTACAATGCCGCCCATGCCCGCAGCAAACAGAGCACAAGAACCTTCCACATGGCAAAAACGTACGTCCAACCATACATGTCACATCCAAGAATAATTTCTTATGACCGATCGACAGTGAAGTAGGTCCTAGCTATAGCTACCCCATAGCATAACCCTTTTCAAATATACCCTTTATCTCAGAATGGGTGCGATGATGGGCGGAGGCGTCGGTCTGACGATCGGTTTCATTTTTGGATCATACAGCATCCTTCGGTAAGAAGCCAACCCATCTTCGTTTTCACTCACCAAATATATTGTACAGAAATGGTTCCGGTCCTCGAGGGTTACTAGCTACGCTTTCGCAGTACATGCTTAGCAGCGCCGCGACTTTCTCTTTCTTCCTTGCTATCGGTTCCGTATGTATTTTTTCTCTCCGTGGAGTATGAGCTGTCCTCAAAGTGGGCTTCTGACATCATCATGTACGCAGGTCATCCGTAATGACGCGCTCCTACCACCACACATCGAAGCCGCCCGTCTCCAACTCCTTCCTCCACTCGTGCGCTCTAAGGCTGAAGGCGCCATGCTAGTGCGTGCACGCTGGGACGCAGAAAGGGCGCGAAGAACAACTGCGTAGTGCATGTATTAAGACCTATATGCGTTGATACATGGTTCAGAAGAGAATACGAATGATCTAGCTAAGAGCATTGCGTGTGTCGGGTGGGCAGTGGGTGTGAGGGTATAACAAAACATAACATGTTGCAAAGACATCCAAGCGCGCTCTGCGGCTCTTGTCCAGTATACGTATGGGTGGACATAGCTAATACCTTAAGCATCAAATTCATATCTTTTCTAATCATCCTCTCTAGAACCACAAGTCCGAGGCAGAAGTCCACTCCCGTATGAGGTGAGAAGCGATGGCGTCATGTAAGGGAAGAACCTGGAGGTACGCAGTCTGCAATCACCGCCATAACTCGATGGAAATTGACTTACGCGGTGTAGGCGGAGTTAGACGCTATTGAACCACGCTCGTTACACGTACCCAGAACCGCTTCAGTCTCCCGCATTGAGTTGGTTTGGAACGTTGGCTATACACATCAACCAGTGATGCGGTATGGGCTAGGCTATATGGGCCAGATATAGTTGGTCTTGGAGGTGCAGTGGGTTTCCACCACCGTGCGAACCATCGACTTGGTTTGCTTTTGCTCTGACCTGACGGAGTTGCCAAGGGGGAATGAGGAGGTGAAGGAATTGGTGAATAGGTATGATGGCTATGATACACCGTTGGTACTTCAACAAACTTCACCGACGGAGCAGACCGCTTTTTCCTGCGAGATGTCTTTGTTGTCGTCGCAAGGGATATTCCTGAGTCATGTCGAGTGAGGATAGATTTTACAGGAGCGGGAGCTGATTTTGTGTACACTGTCGAAGAAGAGGCGATGGATGAGACGCTTTGGCGTGCACGATGCATTGGAGGCCGGATGTACTCCGAGCGGTATCGCGAATAAGAGGGCATTCCTGGGTTTGCAGGCATGGAAGACTCAAATAGTATGCTTCTGCGTCTGCCTGAGGATTCATCGCACTCTAAAGGTGGGGTCTATATAAGAAGGGTGGGTTATGGGTTACAGTATCTTTCATGGAGATAAGACGCACCAGAACTCTTCGAAGGCTGTGGGGCATTGGAGAGTAATTACCCTCGAATTCCTCTTCTTCTTCAAGTGTTATGTCCTGACTTTGTGTTAGGGATGCCACGTGTCGCGTTGATTTGACAACTCACCGCTAGATCACTCAAAGTGTTAACTGGAGAAAGATCAGTGATAGACTGCATGGACGGTCCATGAGAGACTGGTAGCACTACGGCAAGATGGATGAGCTCACATTGACTATAGTATCAGTATCTAGCCAATCTCTCAGAATCTCGTCGTCGGGTGCGGAAAAGTAGGTGGGCTGCTCGAACTCTTCTGAATGCTTTCAGAGTCGCTATATGGTCAGTCTAAAATGACATAAGAGATCCGCAAGGGCGCTTACGCTGAACCTGTGAGTTTGAGTGACGGGCATGGTAGTTGCAGAGAGTGAGAGAGCCAGCGTGCATTCTGAAAGGGCGATTCGAATATGTTCCGAGTGCACGTTGCAGGGCCGGGGCTATGAAAGTTAGGAAATGGATCAAGAACGCATGAAGATAAGGCTCGGAATACCGGATGTGAGTCATCTTGCAAGGTGGCAAAGGCGTGTTCGGGTAATGATTTCGGGTACCTAAGGCACATTCCAGCACGCATGCAATATAGATCATGATTAAGCCCATCGTGTGCAGCACACGAATATTGCTTCCGCATAAAGGCCATCATGGGAAGCAAGTCATGGAAAGTGACAACGGGGATCTCTGTCGCTTACAGTTATTCTCCATGTACATGCCATCTTACATGTCATTCCAACGTAGGTTATTACCTTGGAGATGACAAGCGATTATGTGTGTTGATCCACCCACCGATGTCATTGATGCCCATACAATAGCGAATGTACCCGATGATCCTCCAACATGCACAACCAGTGCTCCTGTCAGTCCGAGGCAGAGGCAATAAAAACGTGCACAAAGACGTTAAGCACCATCTCCCCTTCGTAGTCGATTGAACTTTGGTAGCATCTCACGAAGATACTCTGCATGTTTCAATCTCAAATCAGCCTCTTGAATCCGTCCCCTTCCACTCCAAATCCTTCTTTCTGCAGCGGGTCCGAAGATGGACGTGTAGTCGTCGAGGGTCTCGTCGTCTGTGGGAACTACGAGGCATGCAGCACCAATGACGCAGTAATTTGATATTCGAACAGTATGGTGGACGCGTGCACGCGTAGATATAGTGTTGAAGTTACCAACGGATGGACATTCGACGCCTGTGGAAGAAGTTCGTGACTGAAGGTACGGATGGGGGAAAGGACATACGACAGCCAATCTCGAACAAATTGTTGTCACCAACTCTCATCACTTCTTTGCGGCGATTGACTATTATAGCGGCCTCTTCGATGATACAGCCTGAACCAATTACGATGGGACCAGCTATTGCGAAAATGGTGGCTTTGGGGTGTACGACTGTGCCTGGCCCGATGGTGATGTCTCCCTTTAACTCTACATCTTGGCAGACCACCGCTCTTGAATGGATTGTGAACTTATCGCGGCTGCAAATCACAGCGTCACCACTGGACGCAGGTAATTATGAATACAGCTAACTTACATAGGTGGCATGAGTTCAAGAGCAGCAACCCTAACCCTATTAGGACGTGTATTTATGGACTGGCACTTTAGGGCCCTAGGGGTTGCCTCGACTATCATCGCCTGCGTGTCTCATCTGTTCGTCATCTCGTCCGCTTGCCATTGGAAAAATTGAACTGTCAAAAAATAAAACTAAAGATACATGAAATAATTCTATAGCGTTTTGTCCTCCCTCTATCTGTTCTGGTTGCCTCACATGTTGCATCCTCGGTGGCTGGTAGTTGACGATGTGTTCTGTGAGTTTCTCCGAGGCCGTGTCAAAATATACGCGGGCCTGAGCTGGGGGTTTCGGCTTGCCCCAAACGCTGCCCGTCGCTAGTGCAAGTTGATTCAACAATTTTAGTCCGTCATGCAAGAAGTGCCACTCCACCGACGATGGAATCTCCTTTGTGCCGTTTTGATGAGCCACTCGCTCAGATATAAAGCGTGTGCTCACTTTCCGTACCATTAAGTGAATTAATTCCACTTACTCATCTCTCGTGATCCATCATTCTACATCGAACTTATTGCTTACACCCCTGTGCTTGTCAACGTTCACTCATTGATGCAGCATATCGTGAAGTTTGGTGTCCCTTTCCTTGCGATCAACGAAGCGGAGATTGATGCCAAATTGATGCAGTTACGGAACCATGCGGCAGCTCATGCCACATAGCGGGGAATGGTGAAATGAACCAAAATCCGCGGACTCACCGAAAAGATGTCTCATCTGGCCGAGCATCAGAACTTCAGTCTAGCTGAAACCAGGCAATTGACGAAATCCGGATTTATCGCAAGAGCTGCAGAATTCCATTAGACGCGGAGTGAGAAAAGGTACGATATGGATATGATAACTAACTATAACCCCGTCTATATTTTGAACGGGGTGTCGACATGCAACCCACTCCAAATGCCTCTTGCAGCCTCTGTCGTACTCTCCACAATACGGCCTCTTTTCAGCTGCTTTATCTTCGCGCCCGAGGAGTCGAGGAGTAATTGAACTTTTTTCTCCACACCATTAACTTCGAACTCCTGCAGTGGAATGACCTTGTCACGACCGTTAACTACGATCAGGTCAGATGAGTGTTCGGTATCACAAAAAGAAGCCACACAACCATAAAATCCCCTTGCTATTGGTTCATGACCGTTGCGCTGCTTGACCACGAATTCAACGTGTGGGTTCTGCCATGCAACACGCTGGAGGTCATTTGAGATGAAAGTACGGGCATTGGTGGATGAAGGAAGATTCTGGCAATATTCTAATACTATTTTCCTGACCTGTGGGAGGTATGCAGAGTGACCATTTGCAGGATACGAGCGTAGCTGAGCTCTAAGGATTTGTTTTGTGGCCATGGACTGGAGAAGGAGGGGTATCGGAGTATGAACTTGTTTGCGGGTGAGACTGATCGGAGTATGAAAAGAACGAGGAGAGAAGACTTGGTTTACATCGACTAAGTTGTCTGCGTGAGGATTAATATTCTAATTCGACCATCGACGCGTTGAGCCCTGAACGCGTTCATCCCCTAATCTTTCCTCGCCACATTCAAAATCTATAAGAACCACGAAATCGGGCAATTCTATCATGGCTAGAGCCACTCGTTCAGCCACACAGCAGAATGAAAAAGATAAACAGCCAGACCCAGGAGTTTCACAGCGCGCAAAGCAATCCACAAAGAAACGCAAGCGCGTTTCACTCCCAGACGATGACCAGCCTGCACAAAAGCAGCATCGTGCAGAGAATGGCGTAAAGGAGGAATCAACAGACGACAAGTTGTCCAAGGGAAAGATGCCCGAGCTCGACCATGTAGCCGATGTCCCTCTAGACACTCCAATCGCGCAAAAGGTCCTTGAAATCCTTGAAATGTGAGTCGAATACTGTTATTAATTCATCTTCATCTTCTAATCACCCCTACAGGGTCGACTCTCAAGGTCTTCTCGACCGTGTCTTTCCTCTACCTGCCATACATCCATCCCAACCCTCCACTTCAAAATCGCAAACGGGAACGTGTTCTCTACGTACCCTCCTCAGTGATTCATCACAGCACCCACTCAGGGTGCTGCATGTAAGTTTCCTGCATTCTCTGACATTGTATTGACTCATGAATGGCTTCTAGTCCGCAGTCCAGAATCTATTTCCAGAGGTGCATCACGCGAGGTCTCGTCCATCCTCTGCTGCTGCACTGCAACTGCGCTTTTGTAATCTTGCTATCTCCCTCCTCAACCAAGCATCCTTCCACTCCGTTCCGCTGCCGCTTGACATCGAATCCATAATACCAGTCAATCCAGAGCCGTGTGTTGCAGATGCACCACCTCTCAACCTGAGCCTCCCTGACAAAATATCTCATACCGGACAGGGTAAGAAATATGCCCTTATGCAACGCCTCCCATCCGGCACCTGGTGGTCATCCCTCGGCTCAGACCTCTTAACTGACTCAAAAGAGTTCAAAGACCTCCAAACTGCCAACGCAGAACTTGTTGCCATCCTCCCCTCACCTTCGTCTCTTGCACACTCTGATGACACCTCCAAGTCGACTATCACTCTTACAGACACGCAGGCTCCAATGACGCTGGGTGCCTATGTACCGAAGAAGCCTCCAGGGCATCGGTCGAAGCTCCTCGGCCCTCGGCACGTGAGCTGCGGGTCATTTTTGGACTATGGTCCCTATGCAAGCTTCGCTCCGACCTTTGATCAGGAAGGAGTGGAGATTGGAAGAGAGGCGCTTGGGGAGGTCTTGTGGAGATGGGAGGATAGGAAGAAGCGTTGGGCTACTGAGAAAGCGCGTGCTGCTGAGGAGGCTGCACAGTGTTCGCCCATGGCGGGGTTGGAGGAAGACAAGGAAGAGCATAATAACGTCATCGACCCGTCACTTGAGGAGAGTCTTGATGATGATGAAGAGGCTTTGGAGGGCTTGCTTTCAAAAGAGCAGATTGCCTCCCTGAAATCTGTCCTCAAGAGCTTAGAGTTAGAGAATGCCATTCAGGAGCTGTTAGATCGGAATACGAAAGCTCTTAGGCGGTTGGAAGAGCTTCAGAGACAACGGCTGATGAAAGATGGGGGATTTCATCCAGTCGAAGAAGGATCAGAAGAGTGGGATACTGGTAAGGGCATCCTGGAGAAATTCTGCTGCCAGACTTAGGTTTTTCTACAGCTCAAAGCATTCTCGAGTCACTCACCTTGCTGGCATCACTACGACCTCGACAGTCGGGAAGTGCTGATGTACCACTCATTCCCTCCACAGCCACACTTCACAAACTACATCGCACGCTCCCTGTTGCACCCTCACAAGGCTGGCATGGTACCCTACCTACAGGTCGTACAACAGCTCTTCGCGACAACTCAACACTGTACATCAAGTCCACCGCTACCGCAGTGCCCTCTCTACCATCAGCCACGCCTACGCCAGTCCCTGCAACAGCCGCTACTGCTACACCAGCTGCCGCAACAGCCGCAGTTGCACAGAACTACCAGTACTCGTATAACTATGCAGCTGCAGGCTACCGCGGGAGTTATCAGTACAAGCCAGGACAGACACCCTCCTACTACCCCGCTTCATATGGCACACAGGGACAGACCCAAGCTGCCACGCAATATTATGCTAATCAGCAATACGCAACATCAGGGCAACAGCAATACGCCTACTCTTCCTGGTATCAGTATCAACCTCCAACCCAAGCTGCTGCCGCCAGCACTAGTACGACAACTGCTCCGGGAACACCTCAGACGGGTGCAGTTGCAGCAGCAACTACACCTGCAACCCCATCTGCAACGATTCCAACGAGTTATGCAGGGTTTTTCAGTAATACTGCACAGGCTGGACAGCGCGCAGTAGCGAACACTGTCACCGCAAAACCACTCCAGGCTGCTGCAGGCACAATTTGGGGCACAGGAACAGCTGGCGCGAGTGGCTACGTTCCTCCAACGCTCCCTCCGCATATGCGAACCGCTGCTGCAGGCGGTACCGCACAGCAAGGGGGGTATACTTACCAGCCTAATTATTATGGGGCGTATCAGGCTCAACCTCAGGTTTCGACTGCTGCGTCTCCTGCCCAGTAACAGCAATGATGGGTGTTTTGATCTTTTGTTTTATGTCTTAGTTTCAAAATTATATTTTTCTTTCGTTTGCTGTGTGCCCCGCTTGGTGTGGTTTAAACTGGGTGGGGGTACAATATGAGCTATGCCGTGGTAGTAGATTGTTGTGATAATTAATAATGATTAATTGGAGCTTGGAGGTTTGCAACAAGTTACTGGAAACTTGACCAGAACATCATAACATGCTCAGATTTCAAGCTTCAAGCTCAAGCTTCAAGCTTTCAAGACTCTGTTCAATTGGAAAACAGTCCCAAGGTGTGGTGCTCAGGCACCCTAGCACCAAAATTTTGACTGCCACGACGACACGTGACCTCGCTAGCGTGATGAGGAACTCTCGAGTCTACGCCTTGGTTCGCGGGACGCGCGTCTGCAGCTCCCGTTCCGTTGTCTCCACACTGCAGGATGCGCCATACACTATCACGTGTCCGATATATGACTATCATGATCTGATATCATAGTACGTTCAAAATTCGCTGAGCAGGAGCCTTCAATACTGCGGCTACTAGTTTTTGGGCGATGTTACAGGATGCTACAGTCGATTGGAAGTGTGCGCTGTGCTACTTGCTTGGCTGTGGGTTTTAATCCTGATGCGGCCCGCTACATTGATCAACTCCTGACACATACAAAAAGGTCCTGATACAACGCCGGTTATTTGTGTGGTTATATCCAGGATGCAAGCTACTTACGCATTTTGGTGTTTCACAGGCGGTGCAGTCATCATCATGTTTGCAAGTGAAAGGACAGCCCTCAGCTTCAGCGTCACTGGCATATACTGATGCTGTTAAAGCAGCGACAAGAGCGAGGACAAGGGATAAACGCATCGTATGAGATGTGATATAGTATCAGAAAAATCTGAAGAGCTTCGACTTGGATGTGCAGTAGGACTTGAAGATACCTTGCTTTTATACGCTGAATATTGTTCTTTATGACGGTGGTAAGAAGAACCGCTCTGCGATGCCAGCAGACCTCAATTCTAAAGGGGACGTTAGACTCAATGGCTTGCGGTCGGTTGACACCTTACCGTCGCCCCCGGGCCTGCATGAGTTGCCTAATATACGGACCTTGACTTTTGCCTACTTGTGTCCGCAGTGCCGTTGGCTTGAACCTTTGGAGGGGACGTACTATTGAACCTCGCGAACTCGTCGCATCATCCTAGAGCAAGTATTATTTAATATCAAATATCCATTTGGCCCACCACTGGCACAGCAGTTGGAGCAACCATTGTTTCGGTGTATCGGCACAGTACGGGTACCATAACTAGAAGGAGGTGTGTGAAAGATCAGCTTCTTAACATTATGCGCTACTCCTTGGTCTTCTATGTTCAATGTGTTTGTTAGCTATTCAGGATATCCTTTGGAAGGTATCGAAATCCGAAGTAGATAACGACAGCACAAACATAATGGGGCATGTTGGTCGTGTACAACCTTTGTCAAGCAACATCTTGGAATGGCCGCTCTCACATCACATCCATCTCTGACTCCAGCAGGAAGGCCCTGGGTGATGCGGTTTCTCTATTATCCGTTTATTTATATAAAAAATGATGGAAAAACTACATCCTACTGAAATTGAATCAAGTCCAATTGCTGCATGATAATGATAGGATGGACAAAAATCGCACTCGTCGTCACGGTAACTTAGCCATTCGAGCATTAATATGTTAGCAAGTTTGGCGAGTCTCTGTTTCTACTTGACCACCATGACTGATGCGGATGTTCTTGAGCGTTGTGGTCTGAGCATGGAAAGCACTGACCCAAACTCGCGTCTCATGGCCATATGTGCCTACTTTGATCAATTCCTGTAGCAAACTAGGCGGTTTGGCCCTAGACGTACCAATCATCGCACAACAAATTCCATAGAAACCTTCAACCTAGAAACCCTTACTGCAAACACTATTCATCTCCATCCGCTTGTCGATACCTTGATGCCAGATGGGTGTGTAAATATACTCAACGCTGCCAACACCCAGCGTCTGGCAGCTGGCTGTACTGGCCCACACAAACAACCCTCGCTTTTGGGACTCCAGATTCTGAAGCGAACAATCGATACACCTCACGAGGGATGTGAAGACAAGCGCGAGGTGATTCAATTCATGTGAAATAGCGGCAGCTCCCACTGCATTTCGTGGTGCATAGCAAACCCCTTCCCGAAGCAGCGGAGCCAAAACGGGGAGTAAAGCTTCAGTGCCCTGTCAAATTATTATTATAGGTATAGGATCAGTTCATTTATGTGGTGTGGATCCTGGTGGTGCCATCTCTATTATGTTCGCATTTGAAAGGACAGCAGCGTCACCTGATGCTGTCAAAGCAGCAAGGACGGTGAGGACAAGGGATAAGCGCATCATCTGTGAGGATGTGATATGGTAACTTGAGGATGTCTTGCTTTATACGTTCTTTACGACGATAGTCGGAAGGACCGCTCTGCAACGCCAACAAACCTGAATTTCAAAGAGGGTGTTAGATTCGGTGGCTTATTGTCGCCTAAAGTTACCGTTGCCCTTGCGTGCGTTACCTACGACGGACCTTGACTTTTGCCTATTAGTAGTGCCGTTGGCTTAAACCTTTGCAGAGGACGTACCATTAAACTCGCGAGCTCGTTACAAACTATTATTTGTTATCAAACGTTCATTTGGTCCACCATAGCAGTGGAACAACCATTATTTCGGTGTTTTCGGCACATGTAGTGCGGGCATGATTATCCTGATAATTCAGAAGGACTCAGACATGCGGAAGATCAGCTTCTTAACATTATGCGCTACTCCTCACTCTTCTGTGTTCAATGTGTTTGCTAGCCATTCAGGGATCCTTTTGAAGGTATCGATGGATAACGAACACCCGGAAATATAATATGGCACGTTGGCACAACGTGGAATGTCCTGCGGCACACCATGTGAGGCATCATTCCATTTTCAGGAGTCAGCCAGGTTGTTCACAAAAAAAATTCGGAAGGGGCTGGGGTTAATTATTTCAATCGCTGTTGGTACTATGATGTCCTGGAGAAAAATCAGCTGAAACGAAAGATGCCTCGTGAAAAGATTAGCTTGCCGGAATCACCCGGCACCAAGCTTCATAACTGTACCGTCAGCCAGAATATCTTTTCCATCACCGTCTCGCAGCGTTTGTTTCGGACTATGGGGATGATATCCGTAACGACAGACCAAAATATGTATGTATGTTGTCATAAAAAGAGAGCATCGAGATGTGAATAAAACGAAGGGTAGAGTGGTAAAAATTTGTCACCGTCCGGCAAGACTCGCATGTTTAGACACTGTTATAAACTGCGGAACCTGTACGGGAACAATTGGATGACGAAGCATATCTGAGAGGGGCGCCGGTAAAGGATCAACATGTTGTGAGTAAGTACGTGAAAAGAAATTATGAGAAAGAAGATCTTCTTTGGATTGCTGGTGGGAGTTGAGACGCACACGTATAGCCTCTCCCGGATTATCGTCCAGGGAATGCATGATGGAGGCAGATGTGTATGGGAGGGAGTAGTCTTCCTCGGATCTAGGTGATGTAGATGAAATAGTAGCATCTGGTAGCGCATACATCAAACGCATCTGCGAGCGATGATTGCGTTCCACTCCATCATCATCATCATCCGAAATGACCTCATCCCCATCCGCATCAAGAAGAGGCGCTGGAATTGGGTTTCAGAAAAGTACACCTAATAATTAGACCCACGTACCCCATCCCCTGCGACGTCTGACAGGGCCTGAAGACACCGAAGCTTCACCTGCAGCGTTTGCAGTTACTTCTCTAGGCCACGACCTAGCATTCATAAAATGAGGTAGTGATCTCTCCGGGACGGTAGGAGGGGCTTGGCTCCGCTCATCTCTAAGTAGTGTTTGGTCGGCGTGGTCACTAGTCCACCGCCTACTCGTACCACTCGATGGTTGAGAAGGACGCATTGATGAGTCGGGCACAGCCGCAACATCAAGCACCAAAGTCAAGAGTGGATCATCGTTTGATTGTGGTATGGTGGGTTCCCAGTCCATCTCAGTCCCCGAAGGAGCCGGAACTACTCCTCGTCCCTGCAAACTGGATCTACCGTTCAGGCTTGGTTGCTCAGATCCAGACTCCGCTTGCCGAGCAGCTTCCATGCGACGCATGACCAGCCGCGTAGTCAAGCTCGCTAGATCCCGCACAATGACAGAAGTCTGATCTTGCCGTTGTCCGAGAGGGGGGGCAGCGTTGCGCTGGCGGTTTAAGGCAGTACGTGCTGCAACTTGTCGCCCGATCATAGTGTTAGGATCCTCGGGATTTATGATCCCAAGTTCGCTGCGGAGGGCAGAACGCTCTTCCAGATTGCCTGAAAGAGTTCTGTTGTTTGAAGGAAGAATCAGATCTGGTAGCGGAGGGGAACGGGGGCGAGGCGGGTATATCCGAGAGGGTATATCAGCAGGTGTATCCCACCACTGGGACCTATGGCGAGACACTTCTGATGGACGCTCTGAAGTGGAGCCTCTCGTTTGTCTTGACATACTTTCAAAATCTTCAAGACGCTGCCTTGTCGAGGGATTGATAATGGTTCTCAACCGCTGAACGCGGGTATTGAAGTCCATATCAGACTCTGGAGCGTCGGACCCGGTCAGGACCAAGGCAGCGTGCTGGGGTGCGATACTGGACTCTGGAGTCCTGTCGCGTGTGGATGAGGGTCCTTCTGCGATTTCCGGTGGCATCCGGTTGAGCAAATTGTTGATGTTCTGTCTGAGTTGTGTGACACGCGCGTATGCAGCATCTAGCGCTACAGAGGCTTGTCTCAGACTGTTCTGAGTCTCCTGTCGGCGACTGATGCTGACGGAGTTGTCTACTGGAACAGATTGTGCATTGAGTTGGTCAGAACCCGGCATGAGGTTTGATTGGTTCGGGACGGGAGACGGAGGATGTGAGATATTATCTCGGAGAGGGTTCATCAGGTATCAACTTTTCAAAGCCTCTGCTAACGCCTAGACGCCAGTATAAAGATATAGATACTGTATAAAGGAGTGAATGATGACTGTGGGCCTTGGGAAGTCAAAGGATCAGACAAAGCATTTCTAAGTTGATAGTGTGGCAAGCAGGTACAAATTGATTGCAACCACTGGTCTGAAACGAAGCAGGCCTGATAAGTCACAATTGCAGTGTAAATATTTCGTTATGATTAGAATATGCAGTGCTCCCTATTGTCCACTGGCCTATGCTACTGTATGGTGCTACTACACATGAACGTTTGAACTTCCAGGTGAATAGGGATATCTATAATGTAAAAAAATGTCCACGTGATGCAAAGTCAGGCAGATTCAGCTGTGCTGACAATATGAGTCCGGCTGGTGTTACCAGTGCTATTGGATTCTTCGTCTGAGTGCTTTCGTATCGAATCAATTGGGTAATAATGACGCAGGACTTTGGCAAGTAAAGGATCATCACCAGTGTAGCAGAACGCGAGGGTGACGCAGACGAGAATAAGCGCCGAGGTGATGCAACAAAGCGCAGTCCACCCATGTCTCGCGTGATCGTATATCTAGAAATCAACATCCAATCAAAAACGTAGTTTTGCATTTGTTAGCGTGTATGCTAACCTGTCCTCCGATCACAGGCCCCACTGGGAAAAGTCAGAGGTGAAGGGAAAAGAAAATTATGGTTTCTCACCTGCTGTACCAATCCCGAACGCAAGATTAAATGCGCCATAGATATGAGCATCTGTGTGATATTAGGAGATGAAACATTGCATTCCGTTTAAAATACTCACATCCGACACCTGGCATTTTTCGAGAGACAGACGCAAGTTCGGTCGTCACTGGCGCGACGACACCAGAGACAAAGAAACCTAAGCAAGGAAGGTCAACTAGACACATGTAACCATGGTGTAAACATACATTGAGCGGCAAGAGCAAAAATGAATAACGGTAAAGAGTGCCGTAGGGTCAAGATAATCCACCACGGTAGTGCAAGGAGCAGACATATAAATGTTATATAGTTGGGGCCCACTCGATCGACGTAAAAACCTGCTAACGGTGATGCTGCAACTCTCGTTAAGACGAGATGACGTTTTGTCAGACTATGAGACTTACAGATCAAGGCTGGGACGACTGCTGCCAGGTAGGCAAGACCCACCCGGTCCGAATTAAATTCCCAGATAGATTGGAGATGAAGCGGAAGAGAAGGCTCCTGCATGCTCTGTACAAGTCTGCAGCAATGGTGAACACTCGCCTCGGCAACATTGAATGATACTTACCCATATACAAACGACATGCTTAGAGCGACCATCGCGCGAGGTGACTGCGATAACTTGATAATCACTGAGAGTAATGATATTGGCTTCCGAACGAGTGCCGGGTCCATGATTGGTTTACGGGCTATGGACAATTTTCGTGCGTTGGGTAGTCTAGACTTGTCTGGAACCATCGGATCTTCTACTTCATTAACTTCTGTAGTGCTTCCATGCACCTGAGCTGTTGGGAGAGAGGAGAGTTGTATATCAGATGTAGAAGAAGCGTCCAGCGCCCCCTTCATTATTACGGCCGTGGGTTCCGAGGGGTCATGGCCCCATTTCAATGCAACGTCCCTTTCAATGATAAGAAGACGGAGGCCTAGATCGACAAATGCACAAATCTCTCCAAAGATGAATGGGGCGCGGAAGCCGAAGCGAGTATACAAGGCACCGCCTGCGGGTGAGCCAACCAGAAGACTTATGGGAGTGAGACAATGCAGACGTGGTGTCGAAGCACTCACCCGATGGATAGGCCGGTCATCGCAATACCCAACTGTTCTGAAAAAAGTTCATCGATGAGTGTCATATTAACGTTTTTAGAGTAACTCACTGCCGACATTTTTCTCCGGCGTGGTATCACACCTATAACAGGTATTAGTTTGCATGTGATAGTACCCACAGATATATTCTCACAAAAGTGCCAGGCCTACGATCCACACCATAGAGGAACTGATTCCTTGCAAGACGCGAGCGACGGCCATGACTGCATAATTAGGGGCCTCCATGAACATGACCTGAGAGGCAATGAGCGCAATGAGACCGAGGATCAATGGCATTCGTCTCATTGAATATCGCTCCGAGTGCATGGCAATAGGGATCGTGGCTGTGGGAATTATAAACGCACTTGAAGTGATGTGGAAGGAGCCAACTTACAAAAGACCAGCCCGGCGGACTAGAGGATATGAGTGAGGTAGTTTACGGAATGATGATTCAGCTCACGTATGCACATAGCAGCCACCCTGTGAGTGACGAAACCTTACGGTATGACAAACGCTCCAGCTGGAATGGCAAGACAGGGATGACGATGGAGTAAACCAACAGGTCGGTAGTGATGCCTGAAATACGCATGAATACGAATAGCATGTGACATGTAGGCTTACTGACCGAATCCAACAACTGGCGGGCGTGAAATGATTTGAGTTGATGAATTAAGTGATTGGAAGGAAAACGTACCTGTAGTGATGAACCAAACTGATGACCGCCAGCGAAGCCCCCATGGCTTTCGATTTGAGGAGAAGGGCACCCAAAGACCCATATTGCAGCTTGTGCAAAGGGATTAACACTGACGGAAGAAGTTGAGTTGTCTGCGTGCGGAGGGAGAGGAGTTCTTTTATTATATATATATACTTGAATTTGGCAATCAAAAGTTGCTCAATGGGCGACTATTTAATATATATATTATCCGCTGTAATACTGCGGATTCCGGGATGACCAAAAAAGATTGGTTACGGAAGTAGAAGCCGCCATGCCGTTGTTGATTTGAATTTGGATTTGTAAATCAATGTTGCCTTGACCCCTCCACAAGGACCAATGCCAAAGCTATCCGCTGACTAACCTCCAACTCACTTGGCTCTCCCAATACGTTAGTCTGCTCTAGTCAGACCAAGTAGAAGGAAGACAGCCGTCCTTAATATGCACAGGAACAAGTGCCCTAGCCAAGCTACCAGCTGGTGAAATTAGACCAACTATTAGTTACGAACTGCAACCGGTCAGGGTACGAGTTACACAGTGCCAACCCCAATTTCTCTCTACATGATCTGCCAGGGTTCCGGGTCTCGATACGATCGAGTCAGGCTTGCTCGACTCCAGCAACTAGCGTGGCTGCTAACATTTTCGTGTCTTCTTCGTCATCATGCCTTCTCCGTGGTTCACCAGAGTATACTGTAGGTAGTAGACAAAACCCACAATATTTTGGTTGCTTATCTTTGGCAAATATTTTTCAAGGTCCATAATAATCTATTGTGCATTTTTTTCCGCTAATATTCAATATCTATTAATATACCGGTTGTGCCCAGTGCTTAAGACGCTTAACCTGTGGCCCGTTGCATCAGGGAATTAGCTGGTTTATTCTAAGTGTACGTGGAGATTTGGACAGTGCGACCCTGTGCGTCCCCATACACGAAGCACAGCATCCGCATGGTAGTAGTAGGATTGTATGAGCGTCCCGGCGCATCCCTGCGGTTGATCCGTAGTATTACCAGACGAAGACTCGGAACCAAAGTGTCGTACGAGAGCAAATTTTAATTGCCGAACGAGTGAATGGGAAAATGAACAAAAGGACTTACTCAAGTTACCCACTCGTCATATCGTTGCCGCCTCTCAAGATCTCAAGGTCTTTGCAAATGAGCTGTCACGCAGTCATGCCTGTAGGTCCTTGTCAAGCTCGTGGCCTGGAGTAAGTATTAATAGCCCAAGTTATGCCCTGGTCCACTCACCACGTTACCGCAATAGCATGCAACAAGCCTCCTCTGGTCAAAGGAAACATAACTATTTGGGTTGAAACCTCCGAGGACAACCACGAAGGCGATTGTCTCACGAGGACTTTGAGTGTCTTTCACGTGTTAATAATAGTTTTGGTGAGACGACTGAGGGTATACGTCTATTTCTTCCACTGTACTTAGTACATAGGGAAATCACTGGTCGCGTTGTGAAAGATATTGGCACGCTTCTGAGCTACCGTGCTCTGAGCTCTCTTATAATAGCTACCGTCGGGACTCATGGGAAGGAAGATATTTCTGCATCGAGCTTGAAGCTGGAGGCCTCGATGCCCGAATGACTGGGATCCTAGATGTCATCTTCCGTGCATGCTTCGATCAGGCTTATCATTTTTTTCAGGGTGAGAAGCCGGTCTACCCTCCGTGAGAGTCCTGACATATGGGTGTTCTTTTTCTTTGACAAGCACTTTTGCCAATGACTAATCCAGTTCTGCCAAATCCATATCGGTCTGCTACTTGCCCAGCTTCGACAGTCCATCTACATCTTGCACACCAGACACTGCAACTGCATTGGCTTTTTCCGGCGCACGTCGCATGGGGCGCCGGCGCATCTGTCCTACCATCCAACCCAGAGAAGAACCGCCCATATCTGAACTAGGCCTCGATTCAATTTTATCCACGTCTCCGCTGTGGGAATTCCAGGCCCTCGTCCTGAAAAGATCGTGTCCAATTAAGGCTTTACTATTAGACCAATCCTTCAATGCAGGCCCATCGGGAAACTACATTGGCTAGTGAGGGATCTTACTGTCTTAATGTTTCAGCCAATGGAATCTGTCATCATTATATCAAGCAAGGGTTCATCCTATACAATCATGATGGCGAGGCACTCCGCAACAAGCTCAGGTCCAAACTTCGGCTGATGTTTATCGAATAGCTATGCAAATCGACAAATACCCCATTGGATATTCAAATATCGCCCCACCTCCGTCAGTTGATTTACTGATCACCAAGGCCTCAAAAAGGGGAAAGGTAAGAAAGCGAAGCAATCTATGATGCTGGTATCTTTGTTTCCTTGGCTCTGCTTGCACGATCAGGCTTTTTGAGCCTTTGGAGGAGTCTGCAACTGTCAAGTGGATCACTATTGGCGGCCACCTCTGCTTTTGTAGCCGAAGTCTAATGCGTTTATAAGCAAAGAGCAGCGATGACCGAGGTACATTTCAGTTCTCCAACTTCGTACTATGTTCACTATCTTGAAATTTCGCAGACCACCAGCATCGCAAGCAAATTTTCGATACTCAATTGCATTTTCTACGGTATTGAAACCGCCCGGGTTCAGGTACTATTGCGCCCATCGGTCATGCTTCTGTTTCCAAGTCCTATTTACGGTCTTTTCCTCACTACTATGGCGATGTTGTTGAGCCTTCAAATCGAGGCAGTCATCAGACTGACAAAAACATTTTTTGGCGTTACGATGGATTCATCGGATATTTGTGTAAATCTATTTATTGGACAACTATTAATGGTCCTATCGATATCATCGACCTTCTCTTCGCCTTCGTATTTTTGCTCATGCATCTATCTATATATAACACCTTTTCGATGACGCTCACGTCTTTCCAACATAGCAGGTACCGGTAATGTCTCGCCCAGTACCTGACTTCGCGTATCACCTTGGCCCGCCACTACTAATCACATCATCGTCCAGGGCACCATGCATAGCCGCATCACTGTGAAAGACATCGCTTTTATGTTCCATCCAAACCATTCGTCGTGGATGGTGACTCGAGGGCGGTTTCCTCTGCGACCCGCGCGTATGTAACTACATTTAATGGTGGTCAAAGATTGTTGCTAGCATGGACAGTGCTCGACTTTCCAACGGATCTCTTTACTTACGGCCAATTGCACACAGCGTTGTCAAGGGTAGGAACACCAGGAGATGCAATGTATCTATTTGCAGAGACGAAACCAAGGATGAGTTTATACTAATATCGTCACTACTTTAAACATAATATATTGTCCAAGAGCCGACCGAAGGGGTGTCCACAGGTTAAATGATTTAAAATCCAAGACCACTAAAAGAAAGAGCGGAGAGCTTGGCGAGAAGCGCCCTCGCCTTAAAGGCACTGAACCTTCAGCTACAGTTAAGTTAACCCCGTACCCTTATGTGTTCATAAGCTCAATTGTCATCCTCTATTGTTTTGGATTACACAACACTCTTTCTCTCTCGCTGTGTGAAATGAACTGCTGCGTCGGGTCTTATGGCACCATACAAAAGTCTGTTGTGCCAGTAGAAAGCACGTGTGCGGCAGGACACTCCCTGGCGATCCACTAAAATTTTGAAATGGTGACACTAACCACCTTTCGTCGCTGATTAATATTACGGACAAACGTCGATGGCCCCATCTACCCTCACGCAGCTGAGGTACCTATGATAATTTGAATGAGTGTCGGTCCGACTCCACGGAACACGTCATAGACATTCAGATGATCTACGCTGCTGGCAAGAAAATGTTATTGGTCTAGTGACTCCAGCGTGAACCCGGTTGGCCGCAGGAACTGATGGATATACGTGTCACGACTCGCAACTCAAAACTGTCGCATCAATCGACATGACTGATGTCATCAACAAGTGGCGTAACAGAGTTAGGGATATCGACGCTCTTTTGCTCCTGCTCCTGAAATGTCAACGCTTCACTCGAACGCTCAAGTTTTGTTGAAACATATAATCAATCTGCAGTAGTTGCAACCTGAACCACATACTGAGAACTTACACCGAACTTGGATTTCATCAGGAGACAGAAAGCATGATGATGAATTCGGCGACCCACTAAAATAACATTACATATGCTCAAACAAGCGAGGAGTGTTTGGGAGGAAGACTACGAGAAAACAACAAATTCGAAAAGAGGTGTAGAAGAATTAAGATGTCACTAGATGAGAGACGAGAACATAAGTTCGAGGTCAAAGACACACAACAGCTAGACACTTACTGTAAGTAGCGGGATCAATGTGATCGGGAAGCTCAGGTACAGCGACCTCAAATCGTTGTTGGATTGCAGACATGACTTGTTGGTCTGCTTCACTCGATTGGAACGTGATCGCTAGACCCTTCGTTCCGAAACGACCTGCACGACCGACGCGGTGAAGGTAACTGTCCGCATCTGGTGGACAGTCGTAATTGATCACGATATTGACCCGTTCAACATCAATGCCGCGACCGAAAATGTCGGTTGCGACAAGGATGCGCTTTTCAAAGGCCTTGAACGCAGTGTACCGATTTATACTATTGGGCACTTAGCAAGAGTATTCCAGAGATCCGCTGATGGTTGTTACTCACCGCTCTTCTTGAGCCAAGCCTGAATGGATGCTGATACTAGGGAAATTACAAGAGACTAAAAGCTTGTCCAGCTCGACAGCTCTTGCGACCGATTTGACGAATATCACGACCTGATAAATCATAAATAAATGTCTTTCGAACAAGGTGATGCGGTACCTGGTTGAATTCTAGGGTGTCTAGTAGCTCGTTCAACTTCCTGTTCTTCGCGTTCTCGTCCAGTTTCACGTAGTGTTGCTGTAAACCGTGTAGTGTCAACTTCGCTTCGTCATCAACAAAGATCTCCAAAGGCTGCAGCAACCATATCAGCAGGATATCCATGAACAAAAGTGCATCACATACATTTGCCATGAATTTCTTGCACGTGGCCCTAATTTCTTTCGCTAGCGTGGCGCTGAACATCATCACCTGCTTGTGGTGAGGTGTTGCACGGAAGATTTCTTGGACGTCTCGGCGCATGTCTGCGAATCAAACAAAAGAACAACGAGGAGATGCGGTTAGACTATTGTCGACATTTCGAGAGGGGAATGGACTCAAAAACCGTCAGAAGACGATATGACAAGTGTGGGGGATGTGAGGAAGAGATACGATGATATATCTTATGTATATAATCTCATCAACCCAACAAAGTTCCCGAGACCCTGCATCTACAGCGCGTTTCAGGGCGCACAAGGCGCCTGCGCCCTCGGCGGAGGGAGGGGACGTTGACGAGACAAGTGCCTCTTGCGGCGGCGGCAACCGGTACCAAGATACCGCACAATCGTAGCCGAAATCGAATCGCAGGATGAGACTAACCGAGCTGTTCTAGCATTTTATCGCACTCATCCAAAATAAAGTGCTTGACGTTCTTTGCGTCCAAAACTTTGTCTCTTGTCAGGGCATTGAGTCGTCCGGGAGTAGCCACGACGATGTGGGGACAGCGCGTCTTGTCACGAAGAGTCTCCGCATCCTTTTGAACGGGGGTGCCGCCATAGAACGTGCCAACCCGCACGTCTGGCATATACTTAGCAAAACGTGTGTACTCATTCTTTATCTGGAAAGCGAGCTCGCGGGTGTGACAGAGGACGATGACGGAAACTTCTCCATTGACTGGCTCCAGTTGCTGCAAAGTCGCGAGCACGAAGACTGCCGTCTTACCATGCCCAGACTTTGCTTGGCAAAGGACATCCATTCCCAAAACAGCTTGAGGAATGCATTCTTGTTGAACTGTTGAACGAGTGCCGTGAGTTGAGAATAATATTCTAACCATAACTGAGACATACCTTCTGAGGGGTGCTCAAAACCTAAGTCGCTGATGGCTCTCAGAAGCTCAGGTTTCAACAAGAAGTCTCTGTAAAAATAAAAATAAAAGAGGAGACAAATTGTCAAATGGTCGTTGTTTGTAACAATATAGAGGTAAAACCAACCTGAAGCCCGTCGAATGTATTCCAGAGAAGTTCTTCTTGTCTTTGTCGACCTCACCATCCACTGCTGACGCCGCAGTCCCATTGGCAGGAGCTGCGGAAGCTGTGCCATTGGGGATAACGTCGTGTTCATCCTCGTAGTCGATAAGTTCTTCGTTGTCGTGGGAGCTCATTGTGCTGCAGAAAGAGAGTAGGTTGTCGAAGAGGTTGTCGACAGAAAAGGAGAAAAAATAAGCAAGAAGAGGAGAAGGTTGAGATTGAAGAGCAACACGAAAATGCGTGCGCTGTTCAAAACGCGGCGCGCTTACTAAGTTGGAATCACGTGCGCACGGACCTCGTCCATTAGTGCCTATCCTAGTACTGGTCGGCGAGCAACTTGAAGTACAAGAAGTCATCGGACATGCACAATATTTGTGTCACTGCCGCATATTTTTAATCATTAAGGAATTAGCAGGTCAGGCTGCCATCGTTGCAATATTGCAATAATAGTAACCCAATAGTATGACATGCAAACCTGCAGTGAGGTATTTCTCTACAAATACTACCTGGAGGGAAGCATCAGTGCCTACAATTTAAATCTGTGTGACAGAAGATCCCATCGATATCGCATGGTATCCCTCATGAGTAGATATTTCGTTTAGCCCTCCGAGTCAACTTTCAGAGAGCGTGACTGAACTGCCCCTTGCTCGGTCTTATCAATTGTCGAGGAGAGACAGGTGTTCCAGTCTAATATATGGTTGGGCTTATGCAGACGATACGTGTAACAGATCGAGCGGCCTCCCGTATCCCGCATCCCGACACTTCTGATCCTTCTTTATTTGTCTGTGTATTTGATTGATAAATTTGTAGCCTATACAACCCTAAATTTTCAGCATACCACGATATCACACGGCGCACATATGTCTCGGTTTTAATCGGTACAGCACTGACACAGGCGGGTACGCGTTTATAAGGGGAGGCGGGTGTCATGCATCTGAAGGAACGAAATAAGATGCCCAACTATCCGTTTTGGTGAGTCTCATGGCAGTTGAGTAAATCCCCCCCACAATGTACTAAAGTACTCTGATTTCAAAGGCTCGGAGGTAAGATAAGTTATTACTCGTGTTATCACGCACTGCTCATCATCATCACCAGGCGTCGCGGCATCCAGTAAGCAACTGTGTACATCTTTAATACTGAAATTAAATTGACGTCTTGCAGTGGCCGCATGCTTTACACATCCCCTTGACCTGGCCAAAGTGTAAGCGTGGTTTATGGAACCCTCGTGATGGGCTTGCTCATACTCACTCAACAGGCGCATGCAGAGTCTTGGTCCTACTGTACCAAGTCCATCTATGCTCAAAATTCTCCGCCACTCGATATCCAACTATGGACTTCGTAGTGTTTATACCGGTCTCTCCGCCTCGCTTATGCGTCAAATGACCTACTCGCTCGTGCGCCTAGGCAGCTACGAGGAGATGAAAAGAATCATATCTGAGAATGGTCATCCCCCGTCTACTGGGAAGCTTCTTCTGGCCGCTGGCGTGGCTGGTGGTTTAGGAGGAATAGCAGGAAATCCAGCAGGTCCGTCCATGTCATGCTGTGATATCACTGTTATGCATAATAAATAAATTGTTTGCAGATGTTCTACTGGTTCGGATGACCAGTGACTCCATTCGTCCGCCAGAGAAGCGCTATAATTACCGTAACGCTATCACCGGACTCGTCTCTTTGGTAAAAGAGGATGGCCAGAAGGGTCTTGCACGCGGCCTCGGGACAAATACAGTTTGTGCATTTGACATCACACCTAGCTTTCACTGACTATGAGCACCACAAAGACCCGAGCAGTCTTGATGAATGTAAATTAATTTGCTATTTCCATCAGTGTAATGCTCACGCGACATACTATACAGACATCACAGGTTGGATCGTGAGTATGGTGTTGTTATCTCTTTGCCGTTTCAGTTTATCAGGTCTCGGCAGCTATGACTTTTTCAAAACCACTCTCTTGC